CGGAGCCCAGCAGGTCGAGGCTGCGGGGGCCGGGAGTGGCCACTGCACTCCAGTCTGGGCGACAGTGAGACTCCAAATCAAAAAAAAAAAAAAAATTATTGATCCGGCTGGGCTCAGTGGCTCAGCCTGTCATCCCAGCACTTTGGAAGGCCGAGGCAAGTGGATTGCCTGAGATACCAGCCCAGGCAACTTGGCCAGACCACGTCTTTACAATAAAATAATAAAATTAAATTAACCAGACGTGGTAGAGTGCACCTGTAGTTCTGGCTACTTGGAAGGCTGAGGTGGAAGGATCGCCGGAGCCCAGCTGGTCAACACTGGGGTGGCTGTGAGCATGCCTCTGCACTCCAGTCTGGGCGATGGAGTGAGACTCCGACTCAAAAAAAAAGTATCGATCCTTGCAAACAGCTTTTGTTATGTGGATCGCAGCTGTCAATATCTGCCATGTTAGAAACTAACGCAGGAAAAATTGGAAATTGCTTTTTTTTGAGTCAGAGTCTCACTCTGTTGTCCAGGCTGGGGTGCAGCGGCACAATCACAGCTCACCACAGCTTCCACCTCATGGGTTCGGGCGATCCTCCTGCCTCAGACTCTTGAGTAGCTGGGATTACAGGCAAGCGCCACCACGCCTGGCCATGTTTCTGTCTTTTGTAGAGACGAGATCTCGCTGTGCTGCCCAGGCTGTCTGCGAACTCCTGTCCTCAACCAGTCCTCCCACCTTGGCCTCCCAAAGCGCTGGGATTACAGGTGCGAGCCGCTGTGCCCAGCTGGAAATAGCTGTTTGTTATCTTCAAGTTTCAATAATCAGCCCATCATGTGTTAATAGAAATAGTGGGTTTAGTGAAAAAGAACTGTTTTCTCCAAATCAACCACAAAAGTGTGGTGTGCGCTGAGGCACCGTTCCCCTGTGGCGTCTGCCCTCCCTGGATAGCTGCCTCCTGGTGGCTCCGTGGCGGCCTCTGGGGTGGGTGGGTGGACCCGACCAGGCCTCCCAGGGAATGGGGTCAGAAAGGGCTGCGCCTCGTGGCCGCCAGAAGGGCCCAGGGACCCGCTCCACGTGGGGGCGGGGCTCTGCTCTCTGGCCCCACAGTCCCTGCCTGGGTCCCGTGTCCCCTGCACCCCGGCTCGGCTCTCCCCGGAGCCTCCTCGCCTCCTGACCTCTGCACCCACCTCGCCGGGCCTGGTGCTCCTTCCCGTCCTCTGCCCAGCGAGCTCTCACTCTGCCCTGGGACCCCCACTCTGGCTACCTCTCCTGCGAGGCCTGCCCCCGCGCTGGGCCCCTGGGCCCGGCCCCACCCACCAATGTTCTCCCTTCCCCAAGGGGCAAGGAGCCCTCTTGTTCCCTGGGCAGTCCTGGAATTCAGGCCTGAAGGGAAGGAGGGCAGTCCTGCCTAGAGCAGCGGGCAGCTCCCTCCGGCCTCTCGGGCTGAGACGAGTAGAGGCAAACCCAGCCCGCCTCCATTGCCCTCCGCTCGCCGCCGGACCCACAGACCACCGCGCTGCCGACCACTCCTTGCCGAGCCGCGGGAGGAAGCCGTCAGGAGCTTGCATGCACACGAGTGTGTGTGCGTGCACGTGTGTGTGTGAGAGACATCACGGACTCTGCGGCAGGAGCCTGGCAGGTGACAACGCGGAGCAGCCCTCAAGGCCCAGGACAACTGGGCACGGTGGGGACTGTGGCAAAGGGGATCCACCCCAAGAAGGGACCGCAACACAGCGCCTGCAGGGCCCATCTCAGGGAGCGAAGTCCTCACTTTGGGTGAAGTCCAAAATCGCAGACTTGAAAGGGTTGCCCTGTGCCCAGCAGGCCTTTCTGGGTGGGGGCTTGGGCTGGCCTGGCCTCCTCCAGGGACTCTGGCCCCCAAGGCCTGTGTGGAGTTTCTCCACACCCCTGGCCCTGCCACTCCGAGAGGCCACAGCTTCGTGCTTGGGAAACGGCCGTGGGGCCTGGCTGGCAGGGGGGTCCAGGACTTGCCCCAGGCGGCACCAGCAACCCCAGAACGAGGCGGCAGGCACCCGGCCACCAGCCTGGTGCATGTGTCAAGCACGGCCAATGCTGCCCTGTCGCGGGACACGGGGTCCGGCTCCGGGGCGGCCCAGCCACACTGAAGCCAGCGTGCCACTGCTGTCACCTCCCCCTGGGTCTTCTCAAACTCCGCTCCCTCACTCCCTACCTCAGGCAAAGGCCCGAAGACAGCTCTGCAGGGCACTGGACACTGACAGGAGAGAGGCGGAGAGACCGGGGAGGTGGGGAACTAGGCTGAGGGGTTTGCTCTTCCCACCAGGGGTAGCTGGGAGCCACAGATGGCACCAAGCAGGGAAGGGACCCAGCTGGATTGTAGGCTGGAGAAGGGCTCTACTGCAGCATGGAGTCAGAGAGGCCTGTGAGGACGGGAGAGGAGGCCGAACCGAGCTCCTGCAGGGCTCCCGTGATGGGTAGCGGCGGCCCGGACCAGCCGGGACGGCCTGGAGCGGGAGGCAGCACCCGTCACCTGCGCCCGGCCCCGAGAGCAGGTCACCCGCGCTCCGCACCCTCCCTGCCCCTCCCCACCATCCCACCTGGCTGGTCCGGGAGATGCAGCGCCGGACCAGGTCTCGGATGTTGTTGTGCTTGTCCGTCTGGAAGTACACGGTGGCGCTGGACTTGTCCTTCAGGTAGGGCTTCTCGGCGGCAGCCCAGGCGAGCATCGGCGCCGGCTCGCTGACCTCCGAGGCCACGGGGAAGTAGGTACCTGACTGCAGGGAGCAGGCGTCCAGCCCCTGGGGGCCTGCCTCCGCCCCTCCCGGGGCGTCCAGGGCGCAGGGGGGTTCTCTGGCCTGGGCTCGGATGTACTGGACCTCCTCCGAGGACAGGAAGTCCACCTCGCCTTCCTGGCTGAGCGCCCGCCCGTAAGCTTCGAAGCCCCCGTCCAGGAGGGCGTCGGTGGCCAGCCGGGCGCTCTCGTGGTTGCTGAAGTCGGCCCTGGCTGGCCGGACCCACTGGTTCTTGACGTCTTCCAGGCGCTTCTGGATCTTGCCCAAGTGCCTGAACGGGCTCATGCTGCCCGTCCCCGGCAGGCAGGAGGGAGCCTGTGCTCGGCCCGCTGTGGGGGCAGCGGGCCCCCGGGGGCGAGGCTGCAGCGCTCGGGCGCCAGCCACCCTCAAGTCCTGAGCAGGTCTCAGGATCTCCCTGTGCATCCAGGCCTGCGCATCTCCGGGGACACCTTCCCTGCCGCGGGGCCAGGGCGCAGCCCGCCTTGGCACGCAGCCATGGGATGTTTCCTCTCCTCCCAGCGCAGGGGGAGGCCAGGGGAGCGAGCCTTCCCGCCCGGTTGCACAACTCCTAGGCGCAGCTCCGGGCCTCTGTTCCCAAGCGGGCCCCACTCCAGCGCCGTGGCCATGCGGTGGGCCTCCAGGCTCCTCCTGGGCCTCTGCGCTGCCCAGCAGGTTCAGAGCTGTGGACGTCCCCGTTGGGCAGGGGAGACCCAGTCTGTGCCCGGTGAAGACGGGCAGGAGGCGGATGGGAGCTGTCACGGGCCCCACCTTTCCGGGGGACGTCCAGGGCGCCCTCCCTGTCCTGGGGAGAACGCTTTCCCATCCTGCGTGGTCGGCCATGTCGTGTCTGCAGTCTGTGGACAGGGCAGACTCGCAGGAGTGGCCGCTTGGACCCAGTCTGCAGAGGGGCCCAAGCTGTCCGGTCCGGGCCCGGCCGCCTGGTGTGTGCGGGAGGGGCTGCTGCACGGGTCTCTACGAACTCCGAAGGAGCGACCGCATTTCTTCCCAACCGTTCCATGGCCTGGCTGTGGACGGACTGGAATCCCGCCCGCTTAGTGGGTTCTGCTGGGCACAGGCTCCAGGTGGGACCGGAGTGAGGGCGGCAGTGGGAGGCGGCCCTGCGTGACGGGGGCGGGGCGCGGGACAGGACGAGGGCGTGCAGGCCGTCGGAGGGCAGGCCTGCTGTGACCTCAGGGCTCGGGCACCCGCGGACGGCTGACCTCGTCCTGCGGGACCCCTGGGTCACGGGGTCCAACACAGAGCAGCTCTTCCGGCCCCCAGGGTGGGAAAGCCATGGCTTTACCTGCGACCCCTTGACTGAGGGTCAAAGGTGGCTCTGGGGCCATGGGCTCCCAAGCACAGCCCTGGAGACCGAGACTGGGCGCTGCGGGTAGACTCACCGGGGCGCGGGAGTAGGGGAGACGCGGGCAGGGACTCGGGCAGGGACTCGGGCGCTGGGGAGAGCCCCAGGCCGGGACTGTTGGATGGGCTGACAGCATCTGCCCAGGACGACACCGGGGGCATTTCTGGCTCCGGGAACACCGTGACCCCATGGAGGCTGGCCAGGGGCTCGGCCAAGGCTGCGGTGCTCCTGCGAGGGAACAGGACTGGGGAGGAGGGCTCCGCCCTGCCGAAGGTGTCGGAGGCCCTGCCCGGTCCCACAGGCACCGACCCCGCTGCCTCCCACGATCCCGGAGGCTGGAGAGGGCAGACCAGCGGCCCCTGGCCCGGCCTCCGGCGACTCGTGCTGGGCAGCCGGCCCTCCCCACGCCCTCTCCGCCTTCCCTCCTCTCCAGCCTGGTCTGCGTCTCCGCTCCTTCCGCGGCTCCAGTGCTGTCCGTGGCTCCCCAGCGCCCGTCCCCGGCGGCACTCAGTCCTAGCCCAGCATCTGCGGCTCTGCACACAGAGGCCTGGGAGCCCGGCAGCCCGGCTTCGCCCCCCACGGCCAGCCCCGTGCGCCCTCCATGCCAGGAGGAACGGGGTGTCAGGCCCCGCTCCACAGAAGAAACCAGGGCTCAGAGAGAGGGCGTGCAGCTGTCCGAGACCACGCAGCGGTGAAAGGCAGAGCCTGACACTGGCACCCCAGCGTGCCAGGCTCGACTCTGCCCCGCTGGCTCCCCCACCCCGCTCTCTGAGCCTCGCAGAACCTCATGTGGGTCCCAGGAATGCTGCTGCGGGCGCCGAGAATGGCGGCTGTTCTGGGGTCGTCTCCCCTGCACCTGATTCCTTCCTTGGATGAGCACGTGATTGAGTGGCCGAGACAGAGGTGGATCTTCGCAGCCTTTCGGGCCATTCTCTCCCTTTCCTCTCACAGAGCAGCCGAGGGCGGGCGCAGTGGCTCACGTGCATAATCCCAGCATTTTGGGAGGCTGAGGTGGGAGGATCGCTTGAGTCCAGGAATTCAAACCAGACTGGCCAGCATAGCAAGACCTCATCTTTGCAAAAATAGAAAAGTTAGGCAGGCCTGGTGGCGTGCCTTGAGTCCTAGCTACTTGGGAGGCTGAGGCAGAGGGATTGGCTGAGCCCAGGAGGCCGAGGCTGCGGTGAGCTGTGACCGCGCCATTGCACCCCGGCCTGGGGGACAGGGTGAGACCCCAGCTCAAACACACACACACAGAGCCCCTGAGTGCAGCGATCCGCTGGAGCCTGCTCCTCCTGGCCCAGCTCCTCGCCCTCCCGGGGGTCTTGCCTGAGTCCGCCTTGACCAGCACACACAGACTGCCTGTGTGAGGACCGCTCAGCCATCCCCGCACCACGGCCGCCGTGGCTGGCCGATCACGGGTTTCCCCGGTGAGCTGGGAGCTGCCCCTCCCTGCCTGTGGGAAGCGTCCCCGTGGGTGGCAGGCCGGGCGGTGACACTGGACAGGAACGTATTTGGTTCACGGTTCTGGGGGCAGGAAAGCCCACAAGCACGGCGCCGGTGCGGGGTGCGGAGCCGCGTGCCAGGGCGTCTCGAAGGGTGGGCGAGCAGGAGAGGGCCAGACTCGCTTTTGAGACACCCAGGAGAAGGGCCACAGATCTGGTCCTGAGTGCAGCGCCCCCGTGGCCTCGTCACCTCTCACCAGGTCCCTCCCGACCCTGTTGCCCGGGCGTAAGTTCCCATGCGCTCTGGGGGACGCGGGCAAACCACAGAGGGACCGAGGAGGAAGCCTCCCTGGCAAGGATGCTGGCAGGGCCGGCAGCGGCCGCTCCGGAGCCGCCTGGCTGGCGGGCGACTATCACCAACCCAG